GTAGGACGGCTGCGGGAACCGAGGCCCGGATTCTGGAGACCAAGTCTCGGGGAGCCGTGCCCTTGGAGCCTCCCCTCACTGGGCTGCCAGTGGCCTTTGTTTGGTTTCTGAGGCCTTTCCCTGGTGCCCGCAGGCAAGTGTGACTCTCTGATGCCACCTGTCGCTCATATCCGCAGAAACGGCCACACAGCTCGCAGACACACCGAGGCGGGTAGGGTAACCCAGCGTCTCCCGGTAAGCCGCTCGCCCGCTCACCCTGCTCAAGTTCCCGGAAGCTGGCATTCCAGGGGCATCTGCCAAGGTGCCTCTCCTTTCAGAGAGCCAAGGAAGCAGAGCCAGTGGGTAAAAACAGGAAAGCCACGGCCTGCCAGATCCTCTCAGAAGGTTATTTGTTCTGCTAATTTAGCCAGGAACTGGTTAAGTGACAGGAACTAAGAAGTATAGGGACTCTGGGCCCTCGCCTTCCCTGCTGCCACCAGCTTTGCGGGTCTTTAATTATTGAGGAACTGCAGGATTGGAAGTTCTCCGGTTTAAGGCAACTGCCGGGGCAGATAGGGCTCAGCTAGGAATGGGGTTGGGCGAGAGGCCTTGCTTGTATTCAGACCATAGAGAAATTTCGGTCTGGTACCCAAGAGCGTGCCTCGCCCATTCCTCCACCCCCAGATCCTAGAGTAAAAACACTAAAGAGTGCCCAGCCACTGGCAGAGACGTTCACAAATGAACTCACCGTGTAGTTAACAGCGCCCCTTCCCTTGTAAACAGCTTTATTCGCTTTTAAGAATCATGCAGCAATCCATAAATATTGCATCTTGATGTCCCCACTGTAGTGTGCCAACAAGTGTACTCCAGGGAGTGTGAGGGTACACAGATGGCACAAACAGCACACACACACACACACACACACACACACACACACACACACACACACACACACCAGGTGTGCGGGCCCTAAAACAAAGTGAGCAGCCAGCGTGCCAACACCAGGTGGGCAGGACTAGCGCCCCAGTAGGACAGATGGCTTGGTGTCTGGGTCCAGAAGATGCTGCAGGGGGAATAAACTCTGGTGGTATAAACTCAGGTAAAGTAAAAGGCTCTTTGAGGAAACCAAGATCACTACAGTACCCAGAGCATGGAAAAGTGCAGCAGTCGTGTGGCAACAATCCTGGCAAGGGGACCGTTTCCAAATGATGGGAGTCCACCTCTGTGGACGGGCTATTTCTGCTTGCCAAGAACTAAAGTACAGAGTGAGGGGCAGGAACGGAGCAAGGCAGGATGGGTGCTCTAGCCTAGGTACTGGATTATGGGGTTTAGGCTGACTGCTCTCTTGATGTGGGGGGAAGGGGTTCCTGGCCACTGTGGCTACTGTTTACCTGAATTTCCTTCATCTCAACTACCCACCCCCTCCTTCCAGGTCACACCACACTGTGAATACCGTTTACCGTTTAGTTTACCGTTGCCTGCCAGGGGAGGGGATGGGTCTGTGTGCACCACCCCAGGCTAAGGGAACTTCCCTGTTGCTTTTGCTTCATTCATTGAGGAAGTGTGGTTATTGCTCAGCTTCTACTGCTGTAACCCTCAAGTGTGACTGCTGGGGGAGGGAAGGACATCAAGGGGGGCTGGGAATGGCGAAGTCCATCACGCCTCAGGCAGGATGGCAGGCTCCCTCTAGGAGCCGGATTTCCACACTCCTCTGCAACCACACAGGAGGTAAAGGAGAGAGAGCTGTAGAGTGGTGCAGGCCTGTAATCTTAATGCTTGGGCAGTCCAGGCAGGAACATCAGAAGTTCAAGGTCATCCCCAGCTACACAGCAAGTTTGAAGCCAAACTCTCCACCCCACCCCAGGATCCTGGGCACTGGTGGGTGGTTTTTTTTGGTGGGGAGGAGCTTTTGTAGGTCCACACTTGCCAAGTCTAAAGCTCCTCATATAAGTAACTGTTTCTAATCTGGATCCCCAACCATCTCATGTTCCACTAAACAACTACCTTTCTCAAAAGCCAGGATACAGGGATCTGTTTAAGAGCCATGTGAAATCCGCTGAGACGAGAAAGGTAGGCACCCAACAATTTCCTGCTAGCTTGCTGCCATGGCTTTGAGTGCTGACTGGACTGGACGGCATCTCTAAGCTCTGGTGAGCCCGTGGAGCTCTGTCCCTCTCACCCACCAGCTCTGAAAGGCAGGGTGGGATACACTAGGGTGGGAAGGTCTTCTAATCCTTTGGTCCTCAGGTGATCCTGCAGCTGGTCTCAGAGCTCGACACTTCCTCAGTGTTCCTGTGCACCAGTTTGAGAAGCACTGGTCCACAGTTCTTAGCCTAGTTTTTCAGCTATTAAAAGGGGATAGAGAAAGGGTAGCTGGGTTTGAGACTCCCTCTCAATGGCTGTGGTGAAGATGGGCTACGGTAGCGCTCAGCCCTAGCATTGTACACAGGGGTGACCCAGCAGGCCTTCCTGACTGCACCTGAGGAGGACAAGTCTTGCAGGGTGACCATCCTAACTGGGGCCACAGGAGGCACAGGAGACCGGCTCTGTTAGCAGATCTGGCTTTCAGCCACCCCTCTGGCTATCACCATCTCCTTTAGGCTTGAGAAAGGGACTCCTGGTGCTCTGGGAGCAAGAGTGCAGGTGGCCTCCCTCATGGAGCTAACCCTGACCACTTCGAGTTAGGTTTCTAATTGGTCATGAGGTGCCAGAGACCAGAACCTGTCTGTAACAAAGTTGCCAACTCCCCAAGTCTTCTTGGTCTCTCTGACCAAGTGGTCAGAGTGGAGAAAAGGCTAAAGAAACTACCAGGCCTGGCCCTCAGCTCAACTGGCCCACTGGGCTTGGCTGCTGTGCTATATAGTTCACTGACAGCATCAGCCCACAAGGAGGAAGGCTTCTGGCTCTTTGTGAGAGGGTAAGCATCACGGCTACAGGAGATGAGGTTGCACTCCACATCCTGTCCTGTCCTGCCTCCATGTGAGTATAAAGTCCACATGTCTTGTTGAAGATGCCTAGAAGGCCTGTGGTCCAGTGAGACAGATGGAATGCAAGGACAGGAGGGGAGCCCAGGGACAGGTGCAGGCGCCCTCAGACAGCCAAAGGATCCCATACACAAGGCCTGTTCTCTTCAGGGTCCTCCAGGCTGCTAGATGATGAGTGCCGGCACCGGGTATTGTGACGGTTGACTATGTTATCATCATGCTGCCAGGCACCTGGAGAAGAAAATCAAAAGTTATGGGAACCATTCCTTAGACCAAGTCTGCATGGTGTCTCCAGCAGGGAGCACAGGAGTCAACACAGAATCCAGCAGGCTGTGTATAATCTGAAACTCCTGAGTGTGCGAGCCACTCGTGAGAGGAAGACTGCTGCCATGTGCCAGGGCTGTTCCTTCCTAACTAGTCATTGCCTGTGACCCATGGACAGACAGACGGACACTGCAGGCATTTGTTCATCACGTACCTAGCATCCATTCTGCATGTTAAGTACTTGGTTCTGGATTTTGCCTATGATAATGAGGCTGAGCCAAGCTGCTTCCTCCACGGAAGGCAGATTACAAAGAGCACACTTCTGACCTACAGCCTCTGTGTTCGCTGTGGGAGCCAAGGGGTGGGAAGGGGCTGGCAGCATGGCAGGGCCAGGGAAGAGAAGCCTTGGGTGGGACAAAATGTGGTGTTCAGAGCCCTTCCTCTACACCTCTGCTTCTCATCTCTTCCTCACCTGAGCACCCGGGTTCAAAGACACCACTTATCACACTTACCTCTCCTAGCCCCTGGCTGCCTCTGCACTCCGACTGCAAACTCATCCCTGCTTGTGTTCTGATGCAACCTACACATACCTGTGTCCCTACTCACGCCTGCACCGCACCTACCTGGGCCCCACCCCTACTTCATTAGGACCAGTGGTCTGCTCTTCACAGGCCATCTTACTCAGGGCCTGGTTTTCTCGTATGTCGGACGAGGTGAGTGTGGCCCTCACAAGTTTTCTGTGAGGCCTGCATAAGTCCACATGTCAGTATGCCAGCAGGATACCTGACTCAGAAATGTGCCATGACCAGTTCCCTGCCAGCTGGGTTCAGGGGACCCTCATGTGACCCCTGGGTCCCTCTGGCTGTCGTCTAGCTGGCAAGTTAGCTCTCCGTTCCATTCTCTCTAGAAGAGCTGGTGTGTTCCTTACACAGTGAGTCTTACTCTTCCCAGGTTGGCATGCTTAGGAAAGGAACTTCCTTTCATGGGCCGTTAGACAAGCTTCTGCAGGAACCGTGGTGTATACACGTTTGCATCCTGGAACTCAGAAGGGTGTGTGGCTCTCAGATCGGGATAGGGGACGGGGCTTTGTCAGTATGTGGAGTCAGTTAACTCTATAGTGCTGTCCTGAGACCAACTTAAAAATGGCCAATCAGCCTCAGATTCAGCAAGCTCAAGACATAAAGCCCTTTAATGGCATGCACGCTAAGATGGAGCAGTTATCGATTGCTTCTTCCCAAGTATTGTGGTGTGGGAATCTCTCCTGAGGCCACAGGAACAGACCACAGTGGAGACCAGGAAAGGAGGCGGGGGAGGGCTTTCACACCACAACCGCCCATGGGCTCTTTGCTCCTTGGAGCATGAGTCAGAGATGCTTCTCCCCCTTGGCAGGCAGCACTCTGAGTGGAGGGAAGAACACCAGGCAAAAGGATGCTCAGTTAGAAACCCAGATCAAATGAGTGGTTTGTTCCGTTATATAATTTGGTAGATGTCATACCTATTCCTCAATGTTTATGGGGCAGGACTCCGGAGCTGCGGCTGTTCAGTAGGAGAGACCAAAAGCAAATGGTGAACAAGAGAGAAGACACACATACACACACAAGTAAAACAGCAGCAGCCACATCACTGTCACCATGGTCACTGCTGCCAGCACCGGTGACACTGGGCCTGAGGCTGTCCTGACCAAATTCACAGATGACCTCAGGTAGCATCTGCCACCCCAGGAAACCCCATCAGTGCTGTGGATTGCTCCTTGAAGAGCAGGTGAGGGTGCAGATGGGCTGTGTGTCAGGAGGGGATAAGGCGAGAGAATGAGGTGTCCTTTGCCTGGAAGGACCCACAGGGTCCACAGCATCCCTGCTACTGCTGCTTCTCCACAGCCTACTCAAGAGGACAGCCTGGGTTCCACGGGGATGTCCCCAATGAGTGTGCCACCACATCTGGCTGAATTCAGGCCTTCTGGCAAGAAAGTAGAGCTTGGAGACTTAAGCTCCCTCCAGGGGGAGGGACAATGGTGTTTTTCCATTTGGTTTCCTTTTGGGGACTCAGAGGTGAAAGGAGGGAGAGACCTCCAGAGGCCTATGTAGGGACACTTGGCATAGTGTTCTCTCTGCTGTCCCTACTAATGTGTTGATTAAATTTAAGGGCCACTTCCCCTCAGAGCCTACTACTGCAAACATTTCCAAAGCATCTTTTTTAAAGACAGGATCTCATGTAGCTCTCGCTGGCCTGGAACGTTAGATGAAGACCAGACTGGCCTCGAACTCATAGAAGATCTTCCTGCTTCTGCCTCCTGACTGCTGGGATGAAAGGTGTGCATGACCACATCTTGATTTTATATCATGAGGCTTGAAGAAAGAGGAGTAAATTGAACTTCAGGTTTCTCTCTATATATTTAGGTTTTACTGCGTAGGCCTAGTCCTGTGTTACTCAGTCATGTAAAAACTATTTATTTTCATTAACAGCCATTATCCTTTCCCTTTTCCATCACACACATCACCCAGAGCCTTCTGAGTTTGTTCATGATGCCACATCCCTCTCCTGGCCCCCATGTGATACTCTTGGAGTTCCTATCATACCCCCTTCCAACCTTCAGGAGCTCTTTCAGAGTGTACCGGCTCTCACACGAGGGATCCAAAATCTACCCTCTGTCTTGGGGCCTTTGAAGGCCTGGTAGCTTCTTACGGGAGAAGAGCTGAGGTGCCCAGATACCCTCTAAGGCCCTCACAAACCTGGTGAGGGTGGATTTCCTGGCATAAATGACCCCCCACACCCTTCTTGGCCTTCTCCAACTGTGTGCTCAGTGTGCCCTCCATGAGGGGTGGCACCTGTTTGAAGAGGGAAACAGATTCAAGCAGGGGCAGGGCCTATGGGAAGTGATCTTCTGGGGAAAATACACTCAAGAACATCGAGGAGCAAGCTAGCCTGAGGCTCTCAGGGTGGGATCAGAGTGAGCACATGCAGACTCTCCTGGCTTTGACCCAGGAGATACCTCAGAGCACCTTGTCACCTTTGCTTTGCTCTCAGTGTGGTCTGGCAGAAGCTGCAGAGGGGACAACGTCTCCTCCCTGCAAGAGCCCTTGGACTACAGATACACAAGTATCTGTACACTTAAGTGCCGTTTATGCCCGAGTCTCTCTCCTGACCTACAGGTGACTGGATCCACGTTTGGCCAAACCAAGAACCCCATTTAATTACCACAGGAAACTTGCTTCCTTTTTTGGACTCTTCTGTCCCCATACTGAACCCCTCCCCATAAATGAAGACGCACTGACAAGCGGGTTGTTGGGAGGGAGACTTGGAGAGGAGAGGAGGAAGCAGAAAGAGCAAGCTTGGTCTCCATGGCACCGTGGGCTCCAACAGTGACAGCAGCTCCCTCTGCCAAAAGCAGGGCTCAGTGTAGAAGCCTTGAGGAGAGGCTGGCCGGCAGAAAGCCACAGAGACACCGGCAAAGCTAGGCACAGGCACCATCCTCACCCTATGACCAACCAAGAATGCCTATCCCATAGTCCTTGCCACAGAAGCGTGCCTGTCTTTGTCAAACAGAAATGCATATATCCCCACAGATTCTTTAGTGTATCAAACACAAGCCCTTGCCAATTAGGAACTGGAAGCTTGTCTAGAGCCCTAAGCGGGAGCCCTTCGAGTGCACACACCAGTAAGCTGCTGTCGGGCTGAGCAGAGGCAGGACAGAGCGGGCACAGAGTGAACATGAACTCTCACACAAGTCAGAGAACATAAATGAGTTAAAAGATGAGCAAACCAGACAGACAGGCCTACACTGGCATAAAGACATGGAACATAAATGGACAGATGGAAGCAAGGCCAGGAGTGGGAAGGCAGGGGTGAGTGTGCCTGGTCTCCAGCAGCTCCAGTCCAGGCTTAACTGGGCAGGAGGTGGCCATGCACATCAACGTCCTCCGCCTTGCTTGGCGGGAAGGGAGTGTGCCTGGGGCCTGTGTGGGAGAAGCAGGTGATCTGATGCTGTCTCTCAGGTCTCAAGACTGCGACCTGGGCAGTGTCTTCAGGACAAACTAAACAGAAGAGCCCTTGGAAAGGCCGGAGAAAGTTTCTCCTGAGCAACTGGCTTCCCTTGCCACAGGCTTGCATGGGGCCAGGGCCTGCTGGGACCATATCTGGCACAGGCTGAAGGAGAGTGGCAACCACAGAAGGTCCTGTGGCTTAACACCTTCAGCTACTTCGCTGAGCGAGTAAAGCACTGGACCCAGGAGTGGCTGTTCTGAAGCTGAAGCAGGTCTTCACGGGGTGACAGTGGGGGAATTACAAGGGCAGTGTGAAGGGGCACTCTGTGCTGAAGCCAGCAGGGAGCATCTGGCCCAGGCTGGGCTCTTAGGAAGTGGGTTGTGATGCTGCAGAGTGGGCACACTGAGGCCAGTGCTCAATTGTGATTCCTTTTAGTTTTGGTTTTCAAAATGGTTTCTCTGTGTAGCCCTTGGTTGTATTGGAACTTGGTCTGTAGACCAGGCTGGCCTCAAACTCAGAGATCCACCTCCTGCTTCCCCCCAAGTACTAGGGTTAAAGGCATGCACCACCACCACCTGGCTTAATTTTATTTTTTTCAGGGAGGGTGGGGGGACTAGGTCTATGCTATTTAGCTCCTCGTCTGTGCTTGCATTGATCTGGCTGCCTCTGTTTCCCAAGTCTGGGATTATAGGCGTGTGCTAGTGTGACTGGCCTTGAATAATTAATATGGCTACTTTGCAGATTCAACTTGAAATCATGAAAAGAAATACGGGCATGCTGAGAAGCTGGGGCCTCAGAGAACCAAGTATACCTGCCCTCTGGCTTCTCATTTGGGATTCAAGGCTTGTCTGTGTGATCACTGGAGACCTAAAGCTCCCTGGATCAGAGAGCTATTCATTGGCCTATAGGATGCTTTTAGATTTCTTTGTGATCTTCAAACATATGTCCCTTGAAGAGCTATGGTTTCAATTCTAAAAGCGCAGTCCTCCTTTCCGAGGCCTCCATGGAGAGGTGTCTGACTGCTCAGGCTTCCTGAGGAAGAACACAGGACAGTCCACCTGACACGTGTCTCTAAAACTTGTTCGAAGGGGCTGACCAAACAGTAAGGTGGGAGCGGGGAATTTTTGCCTTTTTTCTTGTCAGGATACTGTCGGGGCAGGAGTGGCTCTTTGTGTAAAGCCCAAGGCTTCCTGGGGCCTCCTTGCTTCCTCCCTGGCCTTCCTAGCTAGAGCTGCAGCACAGGATTTCAGTGCACCATGGGGAGAGCAGGGGTGAGCAGAGGGATGTCTCCCATCAAGTTCATGTTCAGCAGACTGCCACTCACCGGGTAAGCAGACCTCAGAGCACAGCTTATTGTCCAGTGCTTTCACGCTTGCGATGTCAAAGTCATTGTTATTGTCACACTCCATGCCTAGAAATGCGCATGTCCTCTGGCCTGTAACGGAGTTAATGCAGTTAGACAAGGGCTAGCTATGTTTCCTCTACTTTGCTGTCCTTAAAAGGAAAGTCTTAAGGATGGAGACAAAAAGAAAAAAAAATCAAATCATGTGTCAAAAAAAAGACGACAAATCAAGTGAGTAGAGAGTGGACAGAAGAACCGAGTTGTGTGTGCATGTCCGCGTTCTCACAGCACCCTGGCTTATGTCCTCAGGCGGCCCCTTGCTAGTGGCTGTTCCCCTGTAAGTCTGATCCCTGCAGGGAGAGCACTGTGGAGGACAGCTGTAGTCAGGCCAGCCTGGTGACACTGTGGCTATCAGAGGCTGGAGACGACCATGAGAGAGTACCCTGTTCAGGCCTGTGGCCCTCAGGCACCAGTGGGGTACACTTGTGACCAAGGGCTCTGCAGTCATATGCACAAACAACTCACAGCCTTGGTTCCATAATTTTGCACGTTGCGTCAGAATGACTGTTCACAAAATTATGTTTTACTCTCTCAGGAGACTGAAGTTGTTACCTTGAGTGTGTTTTCAGTAGCTGTCCAGAAGACTGCAGTCATGTGGGAAAGCGAGGGAAACTTGCAGTGATTTTTTTTCTTTCGAGTTCCCCCTTTCTTTCTCAGAGAAAGGAAAGGAGAAAACCTTCCGTGTAGACTATGAAGACCTGGGTGGCAACCTGGCCACCCTGTGCTCTTTGGGGAACCATCACTCAGGGGGACTTTGGCTTGGGCTCTGAAGTGATCTTCAGAGGCAGTAAAGCTTTGAGCCCTGAGCAGATGTGCAGGAATGAGAGAGGCCAGCCTTGAGATCCCTGTCTTGGAGCCTCTTGCCAGTGGGAGCTGTCGAGTCCACACGCACCCGACACCCCTGAAGCAATGGCCGGCACTAAAGCAGAAGCAACTAGGATGACATGTGCTGGAGCAACTGCGCCCAGGCCATGGCGCACATGCCCAGAAGCAGAGGGAAGGAGCCTGGCTTCTGGGACAGGCACGGTGACTTCTCTAACCACCTCCTCCTCCTCCTTCCTTGCCCTGCAGGGCAGGCCTTTTTCTCCAGCCTCACTCAAGACCAAACCAAAGGCTACAGTGCTGCCTAGGCGAGCCCAGCAGGGATGCCTGTGCTTCCTCAGCCACGCCCCCCAGATGATCACCACTAAAGCAAAACCATACCAGCTGCCAGGGTCCTGCCTCTCCTGGGGAAGAAACTCTGCTCCACTTAGGGTGCCAGGGCAGCTGGGGAGCTCAGCTAGAGAACTGCCACAGGAGGCAGGCGTGGGTGCAGAACACAGTGTCTTCAGCAGCATTCCCCGCTGAGTTCCAGGAGGAGCTGAGGATGTCACTAAGGTCACTGATACCCTGCTTACCTGACACGCCATCAAGATAACCAGCCCCCACAGTCACAAAGCTGAGCACCGCCATCAAGTCATGGTAGTTCCCCTTTCTTTACCCCTTAGCAAATACCCAGGAAAGCAATGTGAGATAGCAAAGACCAGGTCTTTTACCGTCTTCCTGCACGGGTGATCTATCCTCTTCCTCTACAATGTCATTTCCCTAGGACAGAAGGAAAGCCCCATGAGTCTACCAAGCAGTCAGAGGAGCCAAGCGAAGACAAGACAAGTCATCCCTGTGGCAGCTATTTCCATGGTCTGCATCCTCACACACACTTCCCACCATGGCCATGGTCAGGCGATGCTTGGCCAACTCCAGGTATGTGCTTAGACTGGGTTTTACCCATATCATAGCTTACCTGACACTAATAGAAATCAGGTTTAATGAAAAAGCAAATCAAAGCCAGGTATGGCCACATGCCTGTAATCCCAGAACTTGGAAGATAGAGGCAGGAAGGTCACCTGTCAGTGTAACCTGTAAGGTCAGCTGTATGGCCATCTTGGTCTACCATAGCAAATTCTAGGCCAGCCTAAATTCTTAATGGGTTTACACAGCTAAGTCCTGCCTCAAATCAGCAAATGAGACAAAATATTAAAGCAAATCATGAGGTCATAAAGCTTTCAAAAACTCTTTGGGGCCAGTTTCTACCCAAATGTCAACAATGGTGAGCCCTGAGCTGCACAGGGATGGGTACATAGCACACTGGGCATTGTCACTCACAGCTGAAACTCCGTCTGCCTCTGCACAGGGTGTGGAGATAAAAGGCAAGAAGAAATTTCACTCGGGACAGGTGTCTGTGTATCCTGTGGGGAGCACCTGAGACACAGTGGACCCAGTAAACAGACTAACTGCATGACAGCAGACAGCAGGCACATTCCTGAGGCCTGTCAGGGTCTGGCATGGGTAGGTTCCCTTTGTATTCACTCTCTGTGGATCATACTAGAACCAGTGTCTCCTGGTAACAGGACAGTGTCCCAGGCCAGAGTTCGAGATCTAGGCGTGCTATCCAGAAAGGCTTCGCCAGAATTCCTCTGACATAGCCGTTCCCAGTTAGAGAAACTGGCTGTGGGAAAGGGAGCTGCTACCTGTCATTGAGGTTACCTCTGCATCCTGCTCTCCAGCTGGAAGGCCAGCAAAATTGCTGTCTGGGGACTCTGCTGGTGTCCCCTGTAAAAGAGCAACAAACCCCAAGTGTATTATCATCATAGGCTCTCCAATTAAGCTCTTAGGACAGCAAACACAAGGCCAACATTTCCTCAGCACAAAGTCTGTGGCACACAGAAGCCAGGTCTAAGGGCATGCCATGCTCCCTGCAGCACCCCTGCTAGCACCTGGACACTTAGGAAGCTACCTGGAACCCATGTATGAAGCAGAGAGCAAGGCAGATCAAGGACATTCCCTTACCTCTCCTTCTGAGGGAGCCCTGCTGGCAGCTAGTGGGGAAGGCAGGGCCTCTCCCTCTTCTTCTGTGCCAGGGGCAATGTAGGAGCCAGACATGGAGGACACCGTGTCAGTGCTGATCTGGGAGGATGCCATGGACATGACTGACTGTGCCAGGCTGCTGCTAGCAGGGTCTGTGCAGACAGAAGTTAGGATAGGGAGGGGGAGGGGACCGTGGTTACTAAGGAGCACAAAGGGCACAAAAGCCACATATTACCCAGCCTACAATCCACAACCCCAGAGAAGCTAGAACCCTCCTCCAGAAACAGGTGGAAGCAGATGCAAACATCCACAGCTAACCATTGGGCCGAGCTCCTGGAGTACAACTGAAGTGAGGGAGGATGGATAATATGAGCAAAGGAGTCAAGACCGTGATGGGGACACCAGAGTCAGCTGACCCCAGCTAGTGAGAGGTCACTGACTCAGGCCTGACAGATGGGGACCTGCATAAGACCAAACTAGACTCCCTTAAGATAGGTGACAATGGTGTGACTGGGACAATACATGAGGCCACTGGCAGTGGGTGCAAGATCTAACTCTAACGCACAGAAACATCCACAGCTAACCATTGGGCCGAGCTCCTGGAGTACAACTGAAGTGAGGGAGGAGGGATAATATGAGCAAAGGAGTCAAGACCGTGATGGGGAAACCAGAGTCAGCTGACCCCAGCTAGTGAGAGGTCACTGACTCAGGCCTGACAGATGGGGACCTGCATAAGACCAAACTAGACTCCCTTAAGATAGGTGACAATGGTGTGACTGGGACAATACATGAGGCCACTGGCAGTGGGTGCAAGATCTAACTCTAACGCACAGACTGACTTAGTGGAGCCCTTTCTGTATGGAGAGATACCTTGTTCAGCCTAGACACAGGGGTGTGGGGGGTGGGGAGGTGCCTTGGTCCTGCCTCAATGAGATGATGGGACAGACTTAGACTTCCTAGGGAAGGCCTTACCCTCTCTGAGGAGCAGATGGCGGGCGGGGGGGGGGGAGACAACAACGACGACTGGGATTGGAATGTAAAAAATAAATTAAAAGAACTTATGAAAAAAAAGGCCGCATATTGCCCTCTCCAGATAAAGGTTTAGACTGAAGGTCTTCCAAGACTGCTCTGAAACTCAAGGACCAAGGCTGTGCTCCAGCTGTTATAGTGTAGAGGGAACCTTGTCATGCAGGAAGGTGAGCAAGAGTCTTCCCTGACTACCAGCTTTGCTGTTCCCATCCCCAAAGGAAGTCACAGCAGAGCTGTGGACCGGGAGGGAGGCACAGGCAGCCTCTCCCTGATCCCTCAGGTACCTTCTGGGGAAGAGATGGTAGAGGAAAGCGGAGTCCCTGTGCAAGACGACTGGCCAACAGCCCCTGAAGATGACAGGGTAAGGTTCTCACTCTCTGGAGTCACATCGCGTCCCTGGGGGCGAAGGACACAATGGGACATGAAACCAGCACGAGCCCAGCATATGGGCAGAAGGGTGAGAACAGAGCTGGGTAGGGACAGAGAGGAATCTGACACCAAGAAGGACAAGGTCCTCTCTTGTGGGCATGAGTGACAGGAGAGGCAGTGCTAGCCTCTGTCAGTGCTCTTTTTCAGCCAGGGCCTAGAGTGACTTTGTCCCAGGGGAGTGCACACTTCAGTCAGCACCTCCTGCCTGAGGCTGCAGCTCCAGTGACACAGGTCATCCAGCAGCTGTTGCAGGGGGACATCCCAGGGTTACAAACAGCTTATCCTTAGAAGGAAAAGAACATGAAACCAGCAGGGCCCTCACTGCCTACAGGACCCCTCCATAGGTCTGTCCACCTCTGCCTTCCACCCAGCAGGGCCCTCACTGCCTACAGGACCCCTCCATAGGTTTGTCCTGGGTGGGTGCAAAGGTGCAAGGGTGGCTCTCCAGACCCCGGGAGGGCTTCTTTCATCTTAGGTCAGGCCTACACTACTGAGCACTCTCCTGGCTCTGCTGGCTTCCCACACGAGACTATGAGGGGCCTTTGGAAAACAGAGTTCTCCCTCGGCCTGCTCCATTCTCCCTCTGAATGTTTCTCTCCCTTATGTCTAAAAACTTTCATGATTCAGCCGAATGCTACCCCATCCGTAACAGTTTTTCTGATGTCCTCTGCTAAAGGAAACTGTGCTGTACGCTACATGATACTTATGGTTTCTTCTGCGTTCTGTCTGCCCCTTCTCTCTTGAGCTAGCCTCAATAGCAAGCTGGCACTGAACTTGGTATGTGTCCCAGGCTGGCCTCAAACTTGTGACCCCTTACTTTAGCCTCCAGTGCTGGGATTACAGGCAGCCTATAATCCTACCAAGCATTTGGGAGGAGGTGAGGCAGGAGGACCAGGAATTCAAGGTCATCTTCAGGTATACAGTGAACTCATGGCAAGCTATCTCAACTAACCCACCATGTATTCATTCATGAAGTACTTACTGGGCTGCAACAGTGAACCATACCCAGGGCTGGTGGTTGAGTACAAATGCTATCCCAACTAGACATGAAATCCTGAGGATGGAACACTTCCCATCTCTGGATGCCTTTGGGACCCAGCTTGGGCCCTGGGCAGTACTTGGCTAATAAGGTCTGTAAATTCTAGATAAGGTCTGTGAGAGGGATCTACAAGGCGGAAAGCTCCAGTCGTCACTGCTGTCCCTCCCATCCTGGCCCTGCGTGTCTAGCAGTGCATTCCCATTGCTCGCTTGTGTCAGACGCTCTTAGAGGCCACAGCTTTCTCACTTTCTCCAGGACCAGTGCTGAGACAGCTGCTCCAGTCCTAACTTCAGGGCTCCCTTTCCTGTCTAACATGACGGTCCACACAGCCGTCTAGCCTACCGTCACCCTACTTCCAAGCATGTCAGTGCTGCAAGGGCAGGACCTTTTATAGTTTCCTCTCTGATGTCGTCTCAATCTATAAGATAGGGCCAGGAGCAAATGGGCTGCAGACATGGGGGAACTCATAAATCTCAGGAAACCGCTGCAGCTACCACCTTGTGAGGTGCTGGAAGGTCTAGTGGACGGATAAAAGCAGGGGGACCAAGGAGCCATGTAGGCAGATGGCTGGCGCCAGTACCCAGGGAGGGAGAGGAAAGCCAGGTACCTCTTCCGGATGCTGAGCTGATAGTCTCTGAGAGAGCTGGGTCTCAGATTCACTGTAAGAGCGCTCATCTTCCTCTTCATGTAGCACAGAAGAATTCTGGGAAACAGATCTGTAAAAGCCCAGAGGAAAAGCAGCTGAATGCACTGTCCACTCAGGAGGTCAGTGCTGGACTGATCTTTCCTTGCTCAGGCCGCACAGGGGAGCACTGAAGACACCAGGTCAGTTCTCTGTACCGGAGCAGGATAGACTCCTCTCCTCTAGCTCCTCAACTTTGAGGAAAAAAACAAAACACTAGCAACCTCCCTCCCTCATCTCAATACCTTGATCTGTGAGACATCCTCCTTTGCCACAGAAACTGTGTTATGCTTGTGTCCTGTGGATTTAAATGTTCAGGATATAGGGCCATTTGGTTCCTCTGACTTCAGATTAAGCAGGGCCCCAAGGGATTCTGTGTATACGACTCAATGTCCTCTTCCCTGACCATCACTTTTCTGACCACCACCCACACCCTGCCACAGAACACACGACCCTAAGTGCCCATAGACATTTTCTTTCTTTCTCTGGGGAAAGCTGCCCCTTCCTCGCCACGGCAAGCGTGCCTCTCAGGCCTTCTGTGAGTGAGCAGACAGAACCAGGAGAGTTTTCCTACAACGTGACTATCACAATGCTGAGGAAGGATGGTTTCGGAAGCTTTCAGAGACAACCCAGGGTAACACTGGCGGGCATCAACTACTTACTTGGATAGACTCTTTTTGAGTTTGAGTCCTTGGTTGCTGCAATCAGACAGGCGGTCAAGGGGGGACACCGTCCTCATGGGGGGCAGGTGGTCATCGCTGCCATATGATGGGAGCATTCCTGAGAGGTGGCCATCTCCAAGGACATGAAGTGGAGGAACAGCAGGGGAAGGGGTGAGGGGCCCATTGAGGGCCTCCAGGAGAGACACCACCTCATAGCCTGGTGGGATATTCTCTGAGGACTACAAGAATCACAGACAGGCCAAACATTAGGTACTTTTTGTATTAGGGCGTGATCATGTCTCTTACTGAACATTAAAAGAAGTTTTGTTTTTAGGTATCGGCTCTGGTAAGAAAAGCTCCCGTTAAACATAAAGAAGGTAAAGTGAAGAGCCCCAGATCCTAAATGATTCTTCACAAAGTCTATTTTTCTGATGATAATATAAATAAATGCTCACTGTAGGAAATTTGTAAAATACATCAAAGATGAAAAAATTACCAATAATAAATCACCCAAAGTAACTTTCAGTGGCAATCTAGTACATTTTTCTAACTATTTTATTCCATTATTTATGATTTATGATTAATCTGTAAATGACAATTCTGGGGGTTGGAGAGATGGCTCACTAGTAGAGATGGCTCTTGCAGAGGACCTGAGCTCAGATCCCAGTACCCACATCAGTAGCTCACAGTCACTTGTAACTTCAGCTCCAGGGGCCTAATGCTGCCTTTTGACCTCCAGGGGCAACTTGCACTCACACGTGTGCACTCACACACAGATAAATACATATACATAATAAAATAAAAAGTTTGCATCCTGCTTATTTAATTAAACATAAATACCGCCCCCACCCTTATTTTCTTTTTTGGTTTTTTGAGACAGGGTTTCTGTGTGTAGTCCTGCCTGTCCTGGAACTTGCTTTGTAGTCCAGGCTGGTCTCAAACTCAGAGATCTGCCTGCCTCTGCTGGGATTAAAGGTATGCACCACCATGATCCAGCTCCTTTTTTCTTAAGACAGGTTTTCATGACTCCCAGTGTCCTTTTATTTATGATTATATATTACTTATGATTTGTTAAAGCTTGCCTGAAGATCAAAGAAGCAAAGCAGCCAAGCCAGTAGATCTTACCTCTACCAAGATGAAATGGCAATCCTGTCTCCACAAATCCTCAAAGGCAAAAGCTCTTCATTCCTGTCTCCTCTTTATAATCCTTTCTCTGTCCAGCAATATCCTCCTGTCTCTACCTCCCTAGTGCTGGGATTAAAGGCATGAGTCCTGTCACTCTTCTGTAGGCCAGGGTGGCCTTGAACTCAGAGAGATCTATCTGCCTATCTCCTGAGTCCTGGGATTAAAGTTGTGTATCACCATTGCTTGAGGCCGGCTTTGCTTTCTGACTCCTCAGGCAGACAAGCTTTAGTAAATCATAAATACTATCACACCACACACCTCCATGTCCCAAGTGCTGGGATTACAGGCATGCATCAGTGCTCCTAGCTTTTACCTACAGCTGGAAGCTTCTGATCCATCCCCTGTATAGACACTGGAAGCTTCCTGACTGCCAGTGCTGGGTGCAGCTGTGTTTAACACATTCTAGTGTAACAATATTTCAGTGAACATCCTTGTACACAAATCTTTTTCAGGCTGAGGGGTGGCTCAGTGGTAGGATTTGTGCCTAGCACATGTGAGGCCTTGGGTTCATCCTCGGTGCCACCAGCACAATAAACCCCTTCTCTTTCAGGTCATTTTCTCAGTATTTAGGTTACGGTGTATGAATGTTTTTCATCTTTCTGAAGAGCTTAACTGATTTTTTTCTGTATGTGTAGTGTATACACATCCATGTGTGGGTGTGTGCCCTGAATCCACTTGAAGAGGTTAGAGGAGGATGCCAGATGTCTTTGTCTCTTTCCACCCTGAACCTCACCGTTTTGGATAGGTTGTCTAACCAGTGTCTCTCAGGACCCACTTGTGTCTGCCTCAGCTGCCACTAAGCCTGACTACTGGAGTTTGATCTCCGAGACCCACAAGATAGGAGGAGAGAATCAATTCCCACAAGGTCTCCCCACTACACACTTCCTCCTCCTCTTCCCCCCACCTTAAAATAAATTTATAAATAAATGTAATTTAAAATGCTAAAATGACTTCCTCCCTTATAATTAACTAACCAATTTCCTCAATACAGTTAACTGAATGATAAATTTCTCCCACCACGGGTTAGTCAAGACAAAACAAACATGTGGTTGTCACTTGGGAGGTAGGGGTTTGTATAGTGCAGGTGACTGGTCCCAAGGCCTTGTGTATGCTAGGCTCGCCCTCTGTCCCTGAGCCACACCCATTCTCGACTGTTGCTTCCAAGTGAACTCTGGTTGTCTCCTTACACTGTGACACTAAGGTCAGTTATCTGCTTGGGTTCCAAGCCCTGATGCCCCCCCCCCAAAAAAAGGATGAAGAATGGCAGCAGCTGTCTTCAAGGATCCAAGGAAAGACAGGAAAAATGACTCAGATCCAAACCAGTTGGATCCCACCGGAGTGAACCTCCATGGACGGCTCCGGGAGGATGAGCATCAATTGGACTGTGGTTCCAGAGGAGGAAAAGGAGCTATAGTAATCAGAATGCAACCTTCAGGTGCAGTATTAGTAAGATGTTTAAGATTTATTTAGCTTGGGGGCTGGAAAAATGGCTCAGAGGTTAAGAGCACTGGCTGCTCTTTCAGAGGACCTGAGTTCAATTCCCAGCAACCACATGGTGGCTCACAACCATCTGTAATGAGAGCTGGTGCCCTCTTCTGATGTGCAGGCAAATGTGTGAGTAGAACATTGTATACATACTAAATAAAAATTTAAAAAAAGATTTATTTAGCTTTAGCGGGGCTGTGGTGGCACACTCCTTTAATCCCAGCACTTGGGAGGCAGAGGTAGGCGGATCTCTGTGAGTTCGAGACCATCCTGGTGTACAAAGCTACACAGAGAAACTCTGTCTCAAAAAAAAAAAAAAAGATTTATTTAGTTTTGGGCTGGGTGGTGGCAGTACACACTTTTAATTCCAGCACCTGGTCTACAGAGTTGAGTTTCAGGACAGCCAGAGCTACACAAAGAAACCCTGTTGCAAAAAGAAAGAAAGAAAGAAAGAAAGAAAGAAAGAAAGAAAGAAAGAAAGAAAGAAAGAAAGAAAAGATATATTTATTTTTATTTCTTTTGTATGAGTGTTTGCCTTCATGTATGTCTGTGCACCATGGGTATCTCTGGTGCCTTTGGAGGTCAGAAAAGGGTGTCAGATCCCCTGAAACTGAAGTTACAGTCACGAGCTGTCATGTGGTGCTGGGAATTGAACCCGGGTCCTCTGCAAGAGCAGCCAGTTCTCTTCACAGCAGAGCCATTTCTCCAGGCCACTATCAGTATGTTTTACTACAACATGATCCCAGACAGTCTTTAAAAAAATCCTTCAACATGCTCTGGTTTAATTTTTTTTTTTTTTTGATGTAATACCAGAACAAAATTGGTTGTGCTAGCTCCCACTTGTAACCCTCATGCTTGGGAGCAAGAAGCAGGAAGATCACCAGGAGTGTGAGACCTTCCAGTCTACATAGCAAGTTCCAAGTCAGCCATGTTCACTCAGCCAAACCCTGTCTCAACAACAAAACCCACAGAAAAATACTGAGAGAGCATCTGTTTCTGAGAGGCCACCAAGCCAGCTTACTGAGTGCTCTTCAGAGTCTGATGTCTGGGATGAGATGATGGGGTTAAAGCTGGTTGGAGACAAAGGGCCCAGTTTCTTCCGCATGGCTCGGATCTGAAGCAGTGCCCGGAACGCTGTGAAGAAGAAAACAGGCCATCAGGACATCCTGTTTCAGGATTAAGGATGAGCAGGAGCCCAGGCAGAAACCAGGCCCCGGTCAGCATCCATCCATCTGCTGCACCCAGCAACAGAACACTGATGTTTTGTGCCGACCTCCCCAGCCCTGGCTATCGTACTCCCCCCCAACACACACACACACACACACACACACACACACACACACTCTCACACTCATACAGACACAGACACACACACACTCACACACAGAGACAGACAGACACACGTGCACACACAGACACACACACAGACACAGAGACATACTTACACACACACACTCACACAGAGACACACTCTCTCACACACACAGACACACACATACACACACTCACACACATATATACACACTCTCTTACACACACAGTCAGTCACACACACACACTCACATATATACACACACACCCGGGACTTACGCAGCCGGCAGATGGGGCAGTTGTTGGCCTGGTAGCGCAGGGTGTCTGCACAGGTGTTACAAAGACAGAGGTGACGGCAGGGCAGGATCAAGGTGTCTCGGACATCGGAGAGACACACCACACACTCGGCACTGTTATCACTCCCTTCATCCTCAGCCACCTGGCCAGAAAGAGACACTCGGCTAATGACACACAGCCTTCCACCACCACCACCCACACACACAATTTATTTACAAGGAAGCTTGGCTGAAGAGCAGATAAGCACTCAGAACAGGATCTACATTGACACCGAACTCCAGTTTACGCAGTGCTTTTTTAAAACTTAGTTTTTATTTTATGTGCTTTGCCTTTTGCATGCCTGGTGCTTGCAAAATGCCAGAGAGTATTAGATCTCCTGGAGCTGGAATTAGATAGTCTTGAACTGCCACAAGGGTGCTGGGAATTGAACCTGGTCTTTTGCATTGGAGCCAGTTCTCTTAACTGCTGAGCCACCTCTCCAGCCCTGTGCAGTGCTTTTGATACTTGGTCCCCCTGCCTCTACTTCCCTGAAGCTGGGAGACTGGACTACCCCCTGAGCTCATTCTTCCTCTGCAGGTCCAAGCAGAAGGGACCTAGGAGAACACAGATGAAGGTGAAGGGGAATGCAGAGCTCAGCTAAGCCCCAGAGCAGAGGGCAGATGGGAAGCAGCCTACTTTGTTCATTTCCAAAGTGGCAGAAACCGATAATAAAATGAGAATCTTCTAGGACCTGGCTGGCACGAGACCCTCAGCCTCAGCTAGAGCATAGATTCTCACTTTTTTCTGAGGGAAGAGCGAATCCTGAATTCTAACAAAACTTACCTTAGAATCCTGGGTGTTATACTTGTTCTCGATCCCGTAGATCTCCTGAAGAAGGTAGCTGACCCCGTCTACCTGAACAGCAAACAGTGAAGTCCAAGATCAGGCTTACTACTGAGAGACAAGAGTGGACGCCCTGCCTTTCCCCATGGTAACCCAGGACTACTGAGTCTCCATGACAGAACTCAAGGGCGCACATAGATAAAGCATGTTTTTATTTACTTATGTTTGCATTTGAGAGGGGAAAGAAAATCAAATGTTTAGTTTACCCATTAGTATGTCCAACAAGGAACATAAAATTGTACAAGCTGACAGTATTTGTATTGGAGCTCATTACTGCAGACAGTTACAAACAGCATACACTCAAAAGAGGATGGAAGGGTATATGTAGTGTTCATTGTGTAAGAAAATTTCAGCTTAAGTACTATAAAAATAAGGGTATAGACGGCCACTACTATAAAAATAATGGTATAGACGGCCACTACTATAAAAATAAGGGTATAGACGGCTAAAGTGTGGCTCAGTTGTAGAGTTTTTGCCTAGAATTGCTTCTCTCTCTTCCCCCATAGGTTCAGGAATCAAACTCAGATCATCAGATGTCTATAGCAAGAACCTTCACCTACTGAGCCATCTTTTTTTTTTTTAAGATTTTATTTACTATGTATACAACATTCTGCTTCCATGTCTATCTGCACACCAGAAGAGGGCACCAGATCTCTTAACAGATGGCTGTGAGCCACCATGTGGTTGCTGGGATTGAACTCAGGTCCTCTGGAAGAGCAGCCAGTGCTCTTAACCTCTGAGCCATCTCTCCAGCCCCCTGCTGAGCCATCTTAAAACCTTAATTATCTATGCCCAATCCCACCCATGACCCTGGGTCTTGCTAGTGCCAAAGGTGGCTTTCCCCTTCTCTTTGAAAGTTCACTCCTCCCTTCTGCCTCACCTCTGCTCCCACAGACCTAGCCTAGCTCTAATCTCCTACCAAATTCTCGATGTTGACAGTCTGTTGCCTACAAACCCAGAAACAGGAAAATATATAAAACTTTTCTGCAGAAGCTGTAGCCTTTACCATGAGGCAACTCGCCGAGGCTGGGCCATCCTACACAGGTGGTACCAGGCACTCAGGGTGTCTGGCTTTTTCTGCCTCTCTTGAAACTTGTTTTAACATAGCAATCATATCGAAAGGACACAAATCAACTGATTCATACTAAGGAATTATTACTAATTCCATCAAGAGGGGCCAGTACTTAAAGGAATGAATACTTTAGGGTTTTAGACATCTATCATCCTTCCGTAGAGAGGCCTTCTTTGTATATCAACAAAGGCCAAGCCTGCCTCTCACCCCTCTCCTGCTACCCCCACCACACGATTCCCCACTTGTCCTTTGAGGGTCTGCCTCTCTGTAGTCTTGGCTATTCTGGAGCTCTCTATGTAGACTCAGCTGGCCTCAAACTCACACAGATCCTCCTGCCTCTGCTTCCCATGTGCTGGGGTTAAAGGTGTGTGCCAGCACACCTAGCTTGATCGCCTGTTTTTTTCAAATCATCCTTTCCCCTCCCCCTTTTTTTGAGACAGGGTCTTATATAGCTCAGGTTGGCCTAGAACTCACTGTAGCTGAGGGTGGCCTAGAACTCCAGGTAGTCCTCTAGCCTCTGCCTCCTTGGTGCTGACATTATAGGCACAAGCTACTACAAGCCATCTCCTACCCTCTCTGCCAATGCCACTGGCCACACGTGTCCCTAACTTCCACATTTCTTCCTGCCGTTGCAAAAGTACAAAATGTTGGCACATGGTAGGGGCTGGGCCTTCCAACAGACATGTGGAAACCTTGCTGACCGTTCCTGAAGAGGGCAGATGTCCAGTAAGCTGAATTTTAGAAAAGGAACACTAAGATAAATTATGCCAAGGATTCTAATTAGCTCTGAATCAGAGCCAATCCTCTCCTTTTGTTTGAGATGCTTCTCATCATGGCATTTTAAGTAAAAAGAATTCTCCTTGTCCCTAATGTCAGGAGACAAATCTTATTCTTTCACTTCTCAAGATAACTGTGCCCTGGGAGGCACCAATAATTCCAAAACAATAAAGGCACTAAAAGTCAGTGTTTCTTTCAGGCCACCCAAGTAGTTCCTAACAAAGGTGCTCCTCTTCCAAAATCTTTGATAGAAAGAAGGAAAGAAAGAAAGACAGAGACAGACAGAGAAAAAAGAGGGGAAGTAAACAAGAGTATGTAGTTTTAAAAGTTAAAAAAAAAACATGAAAAAAGGAAAAGGAGAGGGTGAGTGCTAAGAGTTTCTGGCCTTCAAATACTTACCACTTGCTTCTGCTTGAGGGGCTTAACACAGAAGGTCCCGTCTGTGTGCTGGAATAAAAGCATGATGTCACAACCAGGAGGGAGGGCAGAGGGCACGTACATTCTGTTGTTCCTGTCTTATTATATGTACTTGGGGGTGGTGATTTGGCTGTATTTGGCCCCCATAATCTTATAGGGAGTGGCACTATGAGGGGGTGTGGCTTTGTTGGAAGAAGTGAACCTGTGGGTTCGGGCTTTGAGGTTTCCTACGCTCAGGATACCCGCCAGAGTCTCAGCTGACGTCCTGCTGCTGCCAGATGGAGGACTCGCAGCTCCCACTCCACATCTGCCTGCACGCCGCCATGCTCCCCATCACGGTGCTGATGGACTGAGCCTCTGAGCTATAAGTGAGTCACCCCAATTAAATGTCTTCCTTATAAGGGCTGCCTTGTTCATGGTGTCTCTTCACAGCAGTAACAACCCAAACTAAGACACTGGGCATTCACAGAGAGGAACTACAGACTTGGGATCTGGCAAGAGTGGAGCAGGGATCAGCTAAGCCCACTCATTTGATGGAAAGGACACTGAAGATCACGGCAGTGGGGGTGTCACGGCTAAAACCTCCCAAGAGTGTCACAGCCCCAATGTGACACTCTTCCAGCGCACATCATGAAGTTACTTACCTTCTCAAACGTGCCCAGAAGTACATGGCAGTGGCCAAAATACTCTGAAAGAAAGAGGCACATGTTTGAAGAGGGCCAAACATCGCACCGCTTGCCCTATCCCACACATTTGTTTCCACAGAACCCACAGGTGAGTAGACCAATGGTGCTGGGCGCCACCAGCAAGGGCAGGTTATAAAAACCACTGTAAACCCCACCCCTCACAGCAGAATAGGGAAGGAGAGGAAAGAGTGCGGATGGGTCTAACCGAGGCCCACAGAGGTGTGTGGACACAGCAAAGAAGACAGAAGCCCTCCTACCATCTCCTTCATCCACCACAGCATGTACCACCAGAGGGTAAACCTCCCGGTCCAGATCAAAGCCAAGCTGCAGGAAAGATAAGGCAGACAGAAGGAATCATGTTTGGATGCTCGTCGGTCGATGGGGGAGGGCGGCTGCTCAGGAGCACCACCCTCATCTCTGCACCCCACCCAGCAGACCTGCAGCTACCCACGTTTGTTTAATTGGCAGCCATCTATTTCCTTAGAAAACAAAACAGAACCTCATTGAGTTAAAGGCCCCTAACCTTCCTGTAGCTCCTTTTCCTTTTATTTTTTAAAAAATTTATTTAGAAACAATCTTATTTTACATATCAATCCCCCCTTCCCTCTCTTTCCCATCCTCCCATGCTCCCCACCGAACCCCCCACCTACTCCCCAAGAATAATGAGGCCTTCCATGGGTAAATCATCAAAGTCCATCACATCATTTGGGGGAGGGCCTAGGCGGGGCTGAAACAGTCGCCCTCCATAGGAAAGGGCCATTTGTGCACTGGGGACAAACACCAGCTCCACTGTCAGAGGCCCCATAGACTCCCAGCCTCCTGTCACCCACGTTCAGATGCAGCTCCTTTTTCTTGGAACATGGCTTTCTCACAATGCCCTCAGCTAACAGGCTAATCTGGGGCAGAAAACTGAACAAGGATAGGAATATCTTTTTAAAAGACTTATTTATATGTACAGTGTTCTACTTGCATATATGCCATTAAAGCTCATCACAGATGGCTGTGAGCCACCATGTGGCTGCTGGGAATTGAACTAGGAATCTCTGGAAGAGCAGCCAGTGCTTTTAACCTCTGAGCCATCTCTCCAGCCCTGGATAGGTATATTCTTACTGTGAACTAAGCAGACCTTTGAAGGGTATGAGGGAGCCACCAGGCTTAATAGTAGAGCAGAGCATCCCAGCCTCTGGACAGAGTCCCTGCTGCTGGAATGGGTCCTAGCTTACCTCCTCTTCTGCCCATTCTGAGGGGTCCACAGTATGGGAGGGCAGGCAGAACTGCTGGCACACCCCTCGCTTGTAGTGCACGGTCTCCGACTGCAGGCTGTTGTCTTTTGGAATGTAGCTGTGGATCAGTGTGAAGCAGAGCTAAAGTTAGAATTCAGCCAAACAGCCAGACAATTCCCTCTGTCTCAGGCCTGTTCTCCATTTCCAGCAGTGCTAACTCAGGAAAGAAAGACCTTTTTCTTTTTGCTCTAGCCTGGTACTGCTACCAAGCTCATATATTTAATCCATACATCCACAGAAGGAAGCTAAAATAGAGAGTAAGGATTGGAAAAGAAAACTAAATTCAAGGCCCAGACCCTGCCCAATTGTGGAGAAAGAATGTTTTTCTTGCCACGAAGGCTAGGAGGCAAGTAGCTTACTTGCTGTGCTATCTTACCTGGCAATACCATTTTGGAATTCCTCAGTGGCCTGATAGTAGATGGTGATGGCCACCCGGGCATCTGTGTCAAAGGTGAACTCGACATTGTAGTGGACCTTAGCTTTGCCCGCCTCTTCTCCATGGCTCTTCACTTCCTCAGCACATCTGAGAAATCATAATACCCCACGATCACAATCCCCTCTTTGGGGTCAGTGGATCAGGATTTTGTTGTTGTTATTTTGCTTTTTGATTTTATTTTTTGAGATAGCATTTCTCATGGAACTTGCTCTGTAGACTAGGCTGGCATGAGATTGGCCTGCCTCTGACTCCATAGTGCTGGCATTAAAGGCCTATGTCACCACTGCCCAACATGGAACTCTTTGAACTGGAGAGATGGCTCAGTGGCTGCCCTTCTAGCGGGCCCAGGTTCAATTCCCAGGACCCATATGGCAGCTCATAACTGTCAGTATCTTCAGTTCCAGGGGATCTGGCACTCTTACACAGACATCCATGCAAGTAAAACACCAAAATAAATAAAAAAGAATATGCTGGGTGGTGATGGCACAGGTCTTTAATCCCAGCACCTGGGAGGCAGAGGCAGGTAGATCTCTGTGAGTTTGAGGCCAGCCTGGTCTACAGAGTGAGTTCCAGGCCAGCCAGAGCTGTTAACACAGAGAAAACCTGTCTCAAAAGACAAAACAAACAAACCACCCTTACTTTGCTTTAACTCCCCAAAACAACATTACATACATGGTTGTATGTCATTAACATGTCTTTACTATGACTCTCACAGTGTTGTCTGTTTGGGACATTTAGATTATTTACTAACTCCTACAGCCCATGGTGAATAAATGGCCTGTCAGAGTGCTTGTGCCAGAACTTTGTTACATTTTACTTTAATCAAGGTTATTAATCATGCCTGAGTTCCCACAAAGCTTGTTAGAAATCAGCAAGCAGTCCTGCTTCTTTCCCTCCTCTACACTGCAAGTTCTTCTGGACATGCATGTGGCATTGCCCTCATTCCTAAGGAGCACGTCCAGTTGTGGAGTCTTTATTTGCCAGTCTTAGGCACCGTCTACTGACTTTCTATTATGGTCATGCTTTGTCTCCTTCCTCATTCTGCCCCATGGAAGAGCTCTGCCACCCCCATACTGTAGGGAAATCACAGCCCTATTAGCACAGCACCTACAATCTACGCTGCTGTGATTGCATAAACACAATTTACAGCTCGACACAGAGTAAGCTGTGGTCGGCTTTCTTTTCCTGCTCAACACCCTGGAGGGTTTTCACACACTCATCCTGAATGTCCATCCAAACTCTCTGATAGCTATCTGCACTCCTGGATACATCCAGATCATAGCTGGTCCACTTAGTTTGTCACGGCCACACTGCCCCCCACCCCACAGTGTCCTGCAGTAAAGCCCAGGCTGGCCTCAAACACTGGTCTCCTAATTCAAACATCTCATTACTGCATAGCTTGTTAGGGTATCTGAAAACTTCACTTTTTCCTTTAATGATGGTTCTTTTATTCCTTTGTTTGAGACCCTCAGAACAGAGATAATACTTAAAATGCCGGGGCAGGTGAAAGTTTTTTCTGTACAGAACAGTGCCCACATTTCAAATAACACAAGCATGACAAGGCCTCATCTTAGGGCCCCGGCCCCAGCAGCACCTGGCGGCCAGCATCCTTTAGACCCAGGCAGGAGTCTGTGGGCTTAGCAGAAGCTGCTCTTTGACTCACACAGAGTATCTGTTGCCCTGCAAGCAGAAGGGCACCTGGGACCTGGCCTGAGCCCTCAGGAACTTACTTGACAAGTCTCAGCGTGTCCTTCCGGATGTTGATCAGGCTTCTCAGAGTCTTCACAGGTTCTTGGGGAGGTGGGGCAGCATAAGGAAACTGTCAGAAACAAAGTGGGAGAAGCAGGCCGTTATAAAGACCATAACTAGCCCCAACTGGAACAGGACTCCTGGGTAAATGGAAAACAGCCCTAAGAAAGGCAAGGAGCTGAACTCCTATGTGATGAGACAGTCAGTAGACGGTCTGTAACATAGTAAGCCAGCTTGTCCCAGGTCATTGCTAGTGGGAAAACCAGAATTCAATATGGGTACAAAACAGCAAGATTTATTTGTTTTCCCCCCTATATATGAAGCTTATTTGGGTTAGTGTTCAACTCTTGGAGAAGTAATTAAAAAAAAAAAATCCGGGGGGCTGGAGAGATGGCTCAGAGGTTAAGAGCACTGACTGCTCTTCCAGAGGACCTGAGTTCAATTCCCAGCAACCACATGGTGGCTCACAAACATCCGTTATGAGATCTGGTGCCCTCTTCTGGTGTGCAGATATACACAACATGGAAGCATGTATTGTATACATAATAAATAAATAAAATCTTTTTAAAAAGCCAACTCCTATCGAAATTCTAAATACCAAAGGACTTACTGTGGCCAAGTTAACCACAAAAATCTTTTCCATTTGACCTCAGATGACAGGGAGGACCTGCAAGCCCTTTTTCTTCAAGGAGGACACACAGTACCCTAAGAATTTAGGGACTGAGAATAAAAGAGAACCCCATCAAGTGTACAGGGCAGAGGCTTGCCAACACCGAAGAACAAAGCCCCCTCAGAGGATCACATGAAGCAGAGGTTAACTCGAACCTAGAGGCATGGGGTGGGGGTGTTGGTGGAGGCTGACTGCTGGCTCTATCACTTCACACTTTCTGTTTCCCCGTCGGGACCTCCGGATTCAGAGTTCTGAGATTTGATAACGGGGAAACAGAAAACTTCCACTGGGGATGACAAAATGTTCTCAGGACTCTTGTTCTTTAGGCTCTAATACAATTCAAGGATCTCTCAATGTTTCATGATGTAATGTGCTCTAAGAGAGTGCAGGGCACTTCTGTCACCTCTGGGACATCACAGAGCATACTTACACACACTACAGACTAGGAGTAGGCTAGATGGCATCATCTTATAGGACTCTCCCATCATGTGCACTGACGGTCTCTGATGGAACTGTTGTTAGGCTGTGATAATGGTTCACAGGAAGCCTATTGGCCTCAGTAGCTTTGCAGTGCATCGTGGGTCTCCTAGCTCGAAAACTGTACCTCCACAGTGCTGGTATAAAAAAACAGGACATCGGGCTGGAGAGATGGCTCAGAGGTTAAGAGCACTGACTGCTCTTCCAGAGGTCCTGAGTTCAATTCCCAGCAACCACATGGTGGCTCACAACCATCTGTAATGAGATCTGGTGCCCTCTTCTGGTGTGCAAGCATGCATGCAGATAACTGTATACATAATAAATAATTAAAATCTTAAAAAAAAAAAAAAAAAAACAGGACATCATGTTATGGTCTAATCATGCCTTCAGACCTTGACTGAATGTGGTTATTTTACTGGGAAAACAATACAAAATTAAGTAATCTGACTTTCAATGCTGTCTGTGTGATTGCTGGTAATTCACATATTTGAAGATGACACTTAAGAAAACACATTCAGCCAGGTAGTTGTGCGCTCAGAGGCAGAGGCAGACCTATCTCTCTGAGTTTGAGGCCAGGCTGGTCTTATACAGTGAGTTTCAGGACAGCCAAAGCAACATAGTGAGACCCTGCCCTTCTCTTCCCTCCCCCCACAAAAAAAAGAAAAAGAAAAGAAACTTAAGAATGTCTAAAAGTAGAACTACTAGATCAAAAAGCAGCACAGTTTTAAAACTTTCAGTTGGATGTGGAAGAGCATGCCTATGATACCTGCATAGGGGAGGCAGAGGCAAAAGAATAAGAAGCTGGAGATTATCTTAAGGTACAAGGCAAATGTCAGGCCTTTGGCTCAAAAAGAAAAAGGGGGCCAGGAGTGGTGGCGCATGCCTTTAATCCCAGCACTTTGGAGGCAGAGGCAGATGGATCTCAGTGAGTTCAAGGCCAGCCTGGTCTATACACTGAGCTCCATTACAGTTAGGACTACAACAAGAAAAACTATACAGGAAGGAAGGGAGGGAAGGAGGGAGGAGAAAGAAAAGAGAAGGGGAGAGAAGAGAAGGGAAGGGAAGAGAAAGGGAGAGAAGAAAAGAGAAGGGAAGAGAAGGGGGAAGGGAGAGAAGGGGAGGGGAGGGGAGGGGAAGAGAGAAGAGAAGAGAAGGAGAGTAGTAATTTTCTTCAGTGATACAGCCCTTGTTCGCTGTCCACGCTGCAGTAATAATATCCATCCATGTTGATGCAGTCAACTCCAAACTCAGTGATCAGGGAAAGAGGACAGACAAAGGGGAAGAGGGGTACGGGGCAGGATGGGGTGGAGCAGGGATGGGGCCACAGGGAAAGGTTGTTGGGAAGAAGGGGTTCAGTGGGCAGGGAAATGGGGCTGAGAGAGAGCAATGGGACGAGCATGGTCAATATATGCCATACACATGTATAAGCTGGGGATCAATTTTACCACCACCCTGAAAAAACCCTCCAAAGTCATCTATCTAAACTATTTGCACTAGACTGCCCACTTTGTAGGCATTACATACAAGAACTTTATTTTGGAGGTGTTTTTGTCTTGAGACAGTGTTTTGTTCTTTTGGCTTTGTAGCTCAGGCTGTCCTTGAACACCCTGATTCTCTTGCCCCAGCTTCCTGTATAGCTTAGATTAAAGACATGCACCACAATGCCTAGTTGGCAACCTTTTACTTATTTTAATTTAATTTTTGAGACAGGGTTTCTCTGTGTAGCCCTGGCAGTCCTGGAACTTGATCTGTAGACCAGACTGGCCTGGAACTCAGAGATCCGCCTGCTTCTGCCTCCTGAGTGCATAACTAAAGGCATATGCCACCAGACCTAGCACTTACTTTGATTACTGTTTTAAATCTCATTGCATCTTATGTAATGGTTGTGGGGCATGTGGCTGCTTTTTAATGACAAAGCATTATATGATCAAGCAGAAAAGTTTAAAAACAAAATGCACAAGATCAGTCATAATTTTATCACTCACAATATCAAAGTTAATAGACAATGTTTTTTTCCAGAACTTATTCCTGCCCCCTTCTTTACTGTTTCACAGTATTTATGAATAGATGGTCTCCTTTCCATTTATAAGCGCATGGCAGACATTGGTACCACCCAGGGATAGCTGCATGCTTTATTTAACCAGTGGGTTCTCCTTCTTTGCTGATGTGTGTTGTAGATGCCCTTGTCCCTGTGTTCGGCATGCTTGTTTGATTATTTCTTTGGGACAAATTCCTAGGAGTGGAATTATTGGATCAAAGAGTAAGCATTTTTTAAGACTTTAAAAGCCATTTTGCCAAATTGCTCTGTGAGCAGCTTAACAGGCAGATTTAATACAGGGAAACAGAAATTCTGGTCCAGCTTCCATCTGCCGCCCATGTCTTCACCCCGACTTCCTAGGCTGCCATACCTAAAGGAATTTAAAACAATTGAAAAGAAGCTTAAGCAGAAAGTCATTAGGCAGGAAAATCTGACAAAAAAAAACAACAACAACAACAACAACAAAAAAAACCGCTAAGTCTATTCTAAAGCCAAAATAAATGACTCAGGGATTAACATTTTTTTCTGGAGTAGAAAAGTGAATCACTTCATTTGTTCAGTACTAGGCCCTTTTTAACTCTTTTGGAGGAACCCAGAGCCCTGATATAAACAGCCTCAAGGACCTTTATCTATTTATTTATTGGACTGGTGTCTCTCTAGGTAGTCCTGTCTGTCCCGGAACTTGCTACGTATGCTATGGAATGTTATTTAAGGCATGCTGCATTTGTTCATGCTGTGGAACATTTGTTTAATAATGCAAAGATGTGTTGCTTTCTTTTATTTTACATTTGTTTAACTCTGTGAAGCTGTGTTACTTTGCCTGTCTAAAACACCTGATTGGCCTAATAAAGAGCTGAATGGCCAATAGCTTGGCAGGAGAAAGGATAGGTGGGGCTGGCAGGCCGAGAGAATAAAAGGAAGGAGAAATCTGGGAAGAAGGAAGATCTAGGAGCAAGGAGCAAGGAGAAAAGGAGGAGAGGTGGACTCCAGGGGCAGCCACCCAGCTACATGGCAAGCCACAGAGTAAGAAGATCTCAGAACGAGAGAAAGGCAAAAGCCCAAAGGCAAAAGATAGATGGGATAAATAAAGAAAAGCTGGATAAAAACAAACCAACCTAAGGACCCGTATTTACAAGAAAGAATAAGCTTCGCCGGGCATTGGTCGCGCATGCCTTTAATCCCAGCACTCTCGAGGCAGAGGCAGTGGATCTCTGTGAGTTCGAGGCCAGCCTGATCTCTAGAGCGAGTGCCAGGACAGCCTCCAAAGCTACACAGAGAAACACTGTCTCGAAAAACCGAAAAAAAAAAATGAATAAGCTTCCGTATGTGATTTATCTGGGAGCTGGGTGGTAGGCTGACCAAAGAGTCAAAGAGTAAGAAAACAATAATAACAATGTAGACTAAGCTGACCTTGAACTCACAGAGCCTCTGCCTCCTGAGTGCTGCAATGAAAGGCATGCACTAACACTGCCCGCCTTATGTAGTAAAATCTTTTTTTAAAAAAAGATTTTATTTATTTATTATGTATACAGTCTTCTGCATACATGCCAGCAGAGGGTACCAGATCTTATTCAAGGTGGTTGTGATCCACCATGTGGTTGCTGGGAATTGAACTCCGGTCCTCTAGGAAGAGCAGTCAATGCTCTTAACTGCTGAGCCATCTCTCCTGCCCTGTAGTAAAATCTTAATGGGCTTATGAAGGGTTCCTAATTACAGGATAAAGAAAGGCTCAGGTACCCTCAATCTAACTTTTTAACCAGAAAACATTGGTAAAAACCCAAATCCTCCTAGGAGGTCGAATGTGGGTAATTTTCACATAACCAAAAGGAGACTGTAGGTAAACGTCTAACCGAGTGTCTCCTCATTCTACTCCTCACTTCAGCTA